AGCATTGGAATCAGAATGTAAAAATGCTTATCCTAATAATAAATGTTAACAAAAAAGTGCAAGGTAAAAAGTAATAGAGGCTGTGAAATCTGCTAACAGATATATTTTCAGTTGTCAGACACCCATATTAAAATATACTATAGTAATTTATAGTAAATACCACAGTGTTTTTTAACCATACTGACACTGAAACCTCTAATAGAGATCGCACAATCAGCTAAAATGTTGCTAGAATAGTTTTTTATTTATGGGGATATATATATTGCATCACCAAAAATGCTTAAAGGGCCATGACATCCCCCACTTTCGGTTAAAGTCTGCTTCAGATTTTTTTCAAAAGATGCATGATTAATGGGCGTGGAGCTTCGTGAGCACAGGGCAGGAGTGGGCGTGGCCAGCAGGGGAGAAAGGGGAGCTAACAACTGTTGTTGACAGTTAGCACTTAGCTCACAAAATGAGACCCAAACCCTGAGGAGCCGCATGAGTTTATAGTTCACAAAGTTAAAATGCAAAGAAATAAACAGTAATTTAATGCCCTGTTACATTTGTTATTTGTAAGTTCATATACACATAACCACAATTTATATCATTATAAAGATAAGTGTGTTCATGTAAACACTATAAATGAGGATTCACCCTCGATCCCCGGGTCTAAATTATAGATCTGAATGCAGACTCAGTGCAGCAGGTCTCCTGAACTGTCTATTTTAACCATTAGCCCTGCTGGTAATATAGAGGATTTAGGCAAACACAGCAGCACGGCGATGTGTCTGAATGTGAACGAACTCCTGATAAAAGACAGCGTCAGCCATTCTCCAATTCTCGTACTGTTCTCCCGACAAAAATGCTTGCAGCACACACACAGCTTTGCTGTATGATCGGCCCTGACAAGATCGCGGGGGAAAACATGCAACAAACCCCGTGGATCATGGAAACAAACAAATACAAGCCTTCATGAACGGCTACTGCGTGACGTGGGTCCGTGTCTCACAGCTTGCTTGAAACTGGCAGGTCTGTCTTGCCTTCTGAAAGCACGCGCAGTCATGAATAATTAAGCAGCCGGCTCTTCTCATAGGATAAGAAAACTCTGCTATGAATAATAATGAGAAACCGATGCGTCATCATTGCACTTGCAGTTCTGCGCTACGTCGCCGATTTTGATACCGCCCAAAAATCATTTTAAACCCGGAAGCTGAAATTAGCTGACAAAAGCTCAAAATTATCCAGTTTTCCCCACAATTAAAGCTGACAGGTGCTAACGTTGTCTTAACTGATGCTCAACACACACAAATCTGTTAATATAAAAAAAAAAGTTCTCCAGGGTGTCCTGAACCTTTAAGGCACATGTGTTGAGCAATAAGTCGATATGTTGATTATTGTGACAGGCCTAACTGCAAGATTTCAAGAAAGTGCTTGATGTGCGTACACCAAAGTGAAAATGGCATAACATGTTCTGTGTAATGTTTGTGTTTTGACAGAGGAGTTCGGCCGTTTGGGGTGTCACTCCTGATTGCTGGCTGGGATGAAGATCGCCCGTACCTTTTCCAGTCTGACCCATCGGTATGCTAAGATTTGGCACACACACAACACACACACAGTTGAAGGTGAAATGATTTCCCAAGTGATGTTTAAACAAAGCAAGAAAACTTTTAAGGTGTGCTCACACTAGCCATGGTTGTGTTGAACCGAGTCAAAACATGGTTGTCCCCCATCACCACTCCCCAACGGCTCGCACTCGCACTGCATCTTTACCTTCTGACCCCGAGCACGCTTATGTCATCAATGATGTGACTGTTCTGTTTAACAGGAAGAGATGCGCTCTCGCTCAGCATAGTAGAGATTGCTTTAGTTGTATTGTTATGTATTATATCTAGTTATTCGGGATGCAGTGACACAGTCAAATATTTTGGCGAACAGATCCACCACTTTTGACAATCATAAATTATCATAAAAGTCCTTAAGGTTTGTGTCTTTAATAAACTATGACAGTTCACGCTTAATGAAAAGAATGAATAATAAATCCATATGAAACAGTCCCATAAAAGTGACGTCGCATCTCCAGTTTCGGTCTCAGGTGCGCTTTGCACTCGCACTACAAGCTTACCGCACCAAAGCCCAAGTGAACCGCGCTCTGGCACACCTCTTCCCATCGAGCCAAGGCTGGCCAACTGAACTGGGAAATGCGCCCGGGCATGGTTTGGGTTGCCTAGTGAGAGTACACCCTCAAATTATTTCTTATTAAATGTATTTCTCTGGAGAAAGTCTTATTTCTTTTAGTTGGCATGAAATAAAAAAAAATTTTTTTTGTTTATTTATTTTAAAGCTATTTTTAAGGTCAATGTTTATTAGCCCTATTAAAAAGATTTTTTTTCAATTGGCTAAAATACAAACCACTGCTTTCCAATAACTTCCCTTATTAACCTAACTTTCCTAGTTAACCTAAAAACCTAGCTAAGTCTTTAAAATGCACTTTAAGCTGAATAATAGTATCTTGCAAAATAACTAGAAAAATGTTATGTACTGTTATTGTGGCAAAGACAAAAAATAGTTGTTAGAAATTAGTTATTGAAACTTTATTGAAAAATATTCTCTTCATTAAGCAGCACTTGGGAAATATTTTAAAATCTATTAAGATTTCAGGTTAGTTTGAACTGAAATGACTAATTTAAAACAACATAAAGCAAAATAATATGAAGTTTGATCTTTTTAAGGGAGCGTACTTTGCATGGAAAGCCACAGCGATGGGGAAGAACTATGTCAATGGGAAAACATTCCTTGAAAAAAGGTATTAAATGTAAACGCAACATCCAAGATCTATTTAGTCTTTTTTTTTAAACACAGCTTTCTCATTTGCTTAATATTTCTGTTTCAGATACAATGAGGACCTGGAACTGGAAGATGCAATTCACACTGCTATTCTGACTCTTAAGGTAATATTTTCAACTCTGATGGTCATGTATAAAATGCTATCAGTGATAGTGCTGTAACGATACACGATATAAAATCGAAATCGCGACACTCAGATCTACGATCCGGTGTGATAAGGGAGAATCGCGACACACCCCGTACCTTTCCAATAACGTCACGCGTGCCTACAAAAGTTGAGCTAGTTGAAGAAGAAGATGAGATGAGATGCAGTGAGATGCGCCTTGTTTTCGGCTTATAAAGCATGTATGCACATTAGAGGAAACCATCAGGACATATTCTTTAAAATAATGATTTCTATTAAAATGTAAAAGGTTTTGTTATTATAATAATAACAGCGGGGCATTAAATAAATGCATATTTTCCGTGGAGCGGGCGATTTGAGGAAGTCTGCGATTTTTATTTGACGGAAGAAAAAACATGATTGGAAAAAAACAGCCTATGCCGGTTGTTAAAAAGAATCAGTCAGTATTTTCATTTTGTAATATAAATTAATTATTTAAATGAAAATAATTTAGGGCAGTCCTATTTATTTTATTCATTTTATTTAGATTATTCTGCTCTTCTGTGCTAAACACTGCAGGTGCGTGAAGATGCTCTGTTGTTATGTTCTGTTATTAATATGCTAGCATTTAAAAATAAATCAGTAGCCTATTTTAAAATGCAATATTTAATGTGTCAGACACAAAATAGACACGTCAATTTGTTTAATATAAAATTAATAGTAATCTGACCAGTTAACCGTTAATAACCTATTAATGAGCGGCGGTTGACTGTTAGCAAAATTAACCGAAATGAGCATCCCTAGTAGCCATTTAATTTACTTTTTTCTATGTAAGAGAACTTGATTGAAAAATATATTTTAACATGCTTGAACCATCTACGTTACACTATGGAGTTTAGTTCTGTTTGGTTTTTCAAAAGTATTTTGTTACAAAGAAAACAAAAATGATATAATTTTATTTAATAAAAAATAGTTTTAAATATCTTTTTTTCCCCACCCCACACACAAAAAAAAATTGTGATACGAATCGAATCGTGGGTCAAAAATCGTGATACGAATCGAATGTTGGACATCAATAATCCGATTTTTATATGGCGAAGACAATACGCTGATTAAGAGTTTACCATGTAATGGTATTGTCATTCATTCATTCATTTTCTTGTCGGCTTAAGGCTGATTTATACTTCTGCGTCAAACGCCGGTGTATGCTACGGCGCTGACACATAGCCCTTCGCCGTGGCCGTCGGCGTCACTGACATGCACCTCTCAAAAAATGTAACTACACGTCGCAACAAAGCGTAGCGTAAGCTCTGTGATTGGTCGGCTTGGTAGTGCTGACGAGTCTGGGCTGGACTGAGAGCCGCGCGAATGGCGCGAGCGATTGTTTACAAGTGTGGAGTCCCGTAAAGGAGCTCCGGATAGAAAGTTTTGTTTTGTGTTTACCTCATAGTTAAAGTTGTTGCACGTCCGCCGGTTCCTGCCTCAAAATGAGCGAGTTTGAGTCACTTGTACAACGAGGAAGTGTTCAGGAAAAGCAAAACAGAAGCGAAGAAACTCGACACAGAGGAACATTTACACCTCACTGCCAACTAGCTTTTTGGAAGTGTTAATGCAGACCAACAGAGACAGCGTGCAGAAGTATAAATGCACAGTTGCGCGCAATGCCTGCGCCGTGAGTTCGCCGGTCACTTGACGCAGAAGTATAAACCAGGCTTTAGTCCCTTTATTAATCCGGAGTCGCCACAGCGGAATAAAATGCCAACTTTATCCATCTTATGCATAAAAACTTGCTGGATAAGTTGCCGGTTCATTCCGTTGTGGCAACCCCAGATTAATAAAGGGACTAAGCCGACAATAAAATGAATGAATGAATGATGCTGTGGTGCCAGTAACTTGTATTATTGTCAACTAATTGAAGGAGTCGTTCATAATGGAGATTCATTCACAAACGAACCGCTCCCTCCGTCAGTATGAGAAGTGAAAGCAGGAGAGGGGCTGTGTTTCAGGACATGATTAGATCAAATTTAACAGGGAGGGTGAATGGTACATTTCCATACACACAAACACAAGCTTTTTGTCAGGAATGCCTGTGCGATCACTTATCCATCAATGTAGAAAAGTGATGTAAAATATAAGTTTCATAATAAAAAAATATTTGCATACTGACCTCCGGGAAAACTCCCAGTCATAAATATATGTATATATATGTATATATCTCTGGCTCTGGATGGCCACAGTTCTCCACAGCAGCTTGGTCCCGCATTCATTTCAAAGGAGCGCTACCCTGTACCAAAATGGCGGCTCTATTGATGCATTCCATCTAATGTATATATCTTTGCAGTATATTCAATATAGTTTCTGCGCTAGCCTGCCGATCCTGACGGATGTGTGCGAGCAATCAAATTTTCATCTCTTTTTACACTTGAACACGTAAATGAATGTCTAAGTCTATTTTACTGATTGTATTTTAATTACATTACAACATCGATGCTGTAAAACAGTGGTCAACAAACTTGTTCCTGGAGGGCCGGTGTCTTGCAGATTTTAGCTCCAACCCTAATCAAACACACCTGAACAAGCTAATCAAGGTCTTCCCAGGTATACTTAAAACATTCAAGCAGGTGTGTTGAGGCAAACCCTGCAGGGACATCGGCGCTCCAGGACCGAGATTGGTGAACCCTGCTGTAAAAGGAAAAAAAGTCACATTAAAAGTTCACCAGAAGTTTATCAGTATGGGAAGAAACACTTGCTCTGCATACCCTATTACCTTTAAAATAGTGCAGGTTGTTGTAGTGGCACTCATAACATCTCATGACTAGCTAGAGTCCACCTCTAAAGGTTCCTCTAAATGTACAAAGCATGTTTTATTTACTTAAAGCCTCATAAGTCTGTTTAAGACCATGTTTGCATATGATCACAGTGCCAAACAACATTATATGTGGCTGCTTTTGTTACAGGAAAGCTTTGAAGGTCAGATGACTGAGGACAACATCGAGGTGGGAATCTGCAATGAAGCGGGGTTTAGACGACTGACCCCGGCAGAAGTGAAAGATTATCTAGCTGCCATTGCTTAAAGTCAACCTCCTGACAAGATGCTGAGCACTGACTATCTAATGTCTTCATTGCTACAACTTCATTAGTATGAGTTTGAGCTATGTTAACGAATGGAAACAAGTGAAAGTTGTATTGTTTATATTTTGCTTTTCTTTCTTACTGAAGGAGAAAATAAAAGAAAAGGTCTTTTGAAATGCTGTTGACTGCTTTATCTGTTGGTGTTCGTTATACGTGAGCAAATTACATAAAATAACTAAATGTGTAGCTAATTCTTATTTTTATCTGATCATTCATATCGGAAATGAAGGTTGCAATATATATGGCGCCAAATATCTTGTTTCAGTGCCCGGGTGTTCATAAACAAGCTCACGAGGAGGTTTGGCCTGAGTCAGCCAATCAGAATCCAGAGCACCGCGTCACTGCTGGAGCGCCAAAAAATAAGCTGGTACACCTTTCCACTAGTATATTCCTACGCAAAACAAACGTATTTTGGCACAGATTAAATCCTCGCCGCTTTTTTTGTCAGTGATATGTCAAGACATTTTCCTTCAATGTTTATTTTAATGTCTCTAATTTGAATAACACATTTGTTATCAAAATAAAAGATTTGTTATTGTGGTCATTTGGTGTAACGGCTCTAGTTTCTCTCTCGCATGTACATCCTTGTTTTGTGTCGTGTCATTCGAGTGTAAGTGACGTTTGTGGCGCCAGAAATCAAGGAGGAGCGGTGTGCGTTTTCAAAACGATGCGTTATCATTCAACGTACTCGCCGTATTAAAATCTTAACAAACAAGTTTTAAGCTAAGTTTGACAGCGAATGCTTTTAGGGTCTTTTAAGGCTCATTAAAGATGGTGATGTTGCGCAGTAACGGTGATATGGACTCGAGCTCGGAGTTTCTGTCCCTGAACCCGCCTAAGCGAAAGTCCGCGCGGCTGAAAAAGGCCAATGATGACAGTTTAACTAGCGCCGAGGACAGTCCAGCAAATGTGAGTTAATAACTATTCTTTGCAACTTCTAACGTGTTAAGCAATTTATTGTTGACATACTGTGTGAAACGCCCACGTTAGCTCAACAAAGTTGTCGACTGAAAGAGCGCGAGACGCTTGACTGAACTTTAAAAACGCGCTACATACTAACTCTTCATGTAACGTTAAGTTAGTACTAAGTGTCAAAATATTTTTGTTCATTTGTAGCACAACGTTCAGCTTAGAAAGACAAACTTGGCCATTAAAACAGCAATATTCGCTTGAGTGTAACGTTAATATGCTAACTTAGCGCACTATTCTCTGTTTATGTGGTAACGTTAACTTACTAAATGCGAGTAGTTTTTGTTTACCCTCCAACAGTAAATGGCTCACTTTATCAAAACAGAGTTGGCGAATGAACTACGCTTTAACTGCTTCAAAAGTAAAACAAACGAATATACATTGACCGTAAGGGTCATACTAACGTTGTTAGATGATATCGCACTTGTAAACAATAAAAATATAGAGCAAGGATACAGTGTCGATTGTGATTGGGACATTATTAAATGCTTGTCGTGAAAAAAAGCTTAACATGGCTTAATGTACCTAAACATGTACAGAGAAACTCAAATTTCTGTCAAACTGTACTTGTAATTTACCCTACTAACAGTTACTGTAAAAGGGGCGAGTCCCAATTCCATAGATGCAGTGGAAAACTACATTAAGCATTTTCGCTCCCGTTGAAGTAAGGAAAACGTTTAACATATCTTATGTAACTTACCTTAACAACAACCAAGGTTCTATCCAATTTTACTCGTGACGAACACTTTCTGATGTCAAAAGAATGAGCTCTAACTTTAGGAAGTGAAAATTATCACGTTTCCACCCACCGAGTCCATTATACAACAACAAAAATCTCTCAAATTTGACTTGTGATTAACACCAACTGCAATCAAAAGATCAAGCCCTGTTTCTGTAGATCAGGGAAGCCCGGTGTCCTGCATAGTTTAGCTCCAACTTCCTTCAACACACCTGCCTGATCGGTTCTAGTATACCTAAAAAGAGCTTGATTAGCTGGTTCAGGTGTATTTGATTGGGGTTGAAACTAAGATATGAAGGACACCGGCCCTCCAGGACTGAGTTTGGACACCCCTGCTGTAGATGAAGTGAACAGTGTCACATTGAACATTTTATCCCTCATTTAAGTACATTATTACAGCTTAATGTGGTTTAGCTTGCATCTGGAGAAAATCAAATTCTCTCCAATCAAATTCTGTCTATAAAAATACACTTATAAACACTTACTACCGTTAAAAGAACAAACTTTTATTTTTGTTTATCAAGTAAACAATATCACTTTAAGCAATCTCCCCACAGAAATCCATTATAAGAAAACAGCTTAACATACTTTAACCCTGACCAGGGAAACCTACATTTCTGTCAAACTTTACTTACTTTACTTAACACTATTATCAGAAGAGCAGGCCCTAATTCCAATAACTAACAATCTTGTTAAGTGTTTTCTCACGCATTGAAGTCCATGATAAGGAAAGGCTTAATGTAACTGAACTTCAACCGGGGTAAATCATATTTTAAAAAGGCTGTTCATAAAATATAATTGTATTTATGATAGATTAACCCTTGCTGTCAAAATACTGCGCTTGTGCATGTTATTGACATCCCCACAACTGCATAGGGGAAAATGCTTAACATTGTTCACTTTAGATGTGGAAGCCGGGCTCATTCTTTTGCTAGTAGTTAGTGCTAATTACAAGTAAAATTTATGAGAAATTTGGTTTCTCCCATTTGTTAAGGTACATTAAGCCATGTTATGCTTTTTCCTTATAATAGACTTCAATGGGGGAGGAAACACTTAACATGATGTTTTTCACTTTATCTGTGTAATAGAGACTCATTCTTTTTACAGTAGTTATGGTTAATTATAAGAATAGTTTGACAGAAATTTGGAATTCTCTGGTTGATGTCTATGTACATTAAACCATGTTAAGCTTTTTTCATGTTAAGCATTTCAGAATGTCTCAATCATAATCAACAATGTGTATGCTTGCTGTATGTTTTTTTTAGTAATGTGATATCATCTAACAACTTAACATTTTAGTTGATTTACTCTACTTATATTTAAGTTTTGAGTATAAATTGCTTAACATCACAAAGTCAACAGTATATACACTAACAATAATCTTCAAATGACACATACTTTTAAAAAGTATAATTATTTTGTGTCCCCTCAAATTCTTATTTGTAGTTGATATAAAACTTTGGTCTAATTGAGGTAAAGTAAGTTTTATATTTACATATTTAGACTTTATGCTTAATAATATAATTTCAGAAATGTATTCTTTGCAAATTCTATATAGTGAAATCATATTAGCAGCCAATGACTACAACATTGTTCACAGTCAATTCAATAGTGCTAATGTTGTTTTCAAGTCATACTTGCATGCAAATTCAGGCCGAATATTCAGAGTAGTTGTGACTGAACAAATGTGCGAATATAAAGCCAACTTTACCTCAATTTGTTTTAGAAAAGTTGAATAAAGAATATAGCATGTCAAGGGGCTTAGCACTGCTGTGATTTGTGAATATGAAGCATTTGTAAGGTTTTTTGTCTGTAAAGGAGGAAAACAGCATGAGGAGCAGAGCTCAGAGAGGAAGACACGTTGCTTTTGCTGATATGAATGGACAAACCAGCAAATCACCTCCAAAAGAAGAGAAAAGTGGGAAGCATTTAAGGTGGGAGTCATAGCTTAATTACTGTCATATATGTAAAATAATCTATGTCGTTTTGAATTTACTGGATGTTTTATTTTCTGACCTGTCAGTTTTATTGCTTAATCAATCATTGTTTTTTATAGGAAGTCTCCAAGACTTCAGGCAGATGGGGAGAGATCGGCAGATGAGCACACAGGTGGGATTGTCAAGAGTATCTGATAATTGCAGTTATGTTAGTTTTATGCTAACTAAAATGAATCCATTCTTCAGACGAGGTGGACTCAACTCCCACATCACGAAATCTGCGTGCTCGGATCCAAAGGCGAGGAGAAGACGACAGTGCTGTGAGGCGTAGTTCCAGAATAACAAGATATAAGCTTGACACCAGGAAGCAGTCCGTCCTCTATGACAGACTTATCACAAAGTATGCACTGATATAGAAAACACTGAGTTGTGTTTCTGTGTTTGTCATTTTACGATCTTTCCCACTTGATGAAATCCATATTGTAGATTTACTTTGGACCTTTATATCTATATCCGAATGGTTCCTGGTACTCAGTGGCTGTTTTCATCTATTTTAGTACTGCAGAGGCTGTTCTTCAGAAGATGGATGACATGCAGAAGATGCGTCGTAGACTGAGGAGCAGAGACAGTGAGGAGGAGGTGCGTCGTGATCTTCATCACTGATTCCTGCAGTAAGGCTTTGATCAGCCAGGACTTTAAACTTGTTTTTTTCTTTGTAGAAATTGAGAATTTACTCTGGAACAAAGAGAACGAGGATAACAAAACCATCCGTAAGAGGACAAGAGGAGAGTTCAGACAACCAGGAGAATGGTAATAATTCTGAATCAGGAACGTAATACTGCACATGCTGAACCTGAAGTTTTCTGCTTCAATATCTAACAGTGATTCTGCATTACTGCTGAATATATATACCCCCGCCATTATTTAAAAAAAGTGCATTTTAGCCCTCAAAAATTTGTTTAATTCAAGAAATTTTGTTAGATAATAAGTAAAATTTGTACAAATGAAAAGTCAATGTAAAATTTGTTTACAGTACAAAAAGTACAAGCAATGGGTCAGTCAGGGTAAAGTCTGATTTGTACTTCTGCATCAAGCGCACACGTATGGTCTGGCGCAGTGGTCCCACACCCCTCACCGTGGCTAATGCTGAGGTTCACCTCTCAAAATTGGTTGACTTGGTAGCCTTGATGAGTCTAGGCAATACAACGAGCAGCTAGCCGGTTGGAGCAAGTGTTGGGTCCTGTAAAGGAGCTCCATTTGGAAACTCTTGTTTTGTGTTTACCTTATGATTAAAGTTGCTGTACATTCGCCGGTTCCTGCTTCTATATGAGTGAGTTTTAGCTACTTAATTAAGGTAGCATTAAAAAAAAAACCTGCGAAGAAATGCATAGGAAAATGTGCAAGCCAGGTATGCACCGTGGGTCACATCGATCACTGGATGCAGAAGTATAAATCAGCCGTAGTATAAATGCGAAGGTGCTGTTTTTTGTCTTATGATTTTATTGTTTATCTTTATGAATCCCTTATTCACAAATCACAGACACGTTAAGTACCCCCAAAGCAGTGTTTGTTTGATTTTTGATTCATATTGGTTAATGTTTGGGGGTGTTGGTTGTCAAACTTTTTTTACTTCCCAGAATACAGTGATCAAGATGAGGAGGAGGAAGAGGAGGAGGATGGTGAAGGTGAGGAAGAGGAGAATGATGAGGGAGATGCAGATGAAGATGAGGATGAAGATGAAGAGGACAATGGAAAGCGCTATGATTTTAGACAAAGAAAAGCTGTTGTGCGTTACCAGGCACCTCTTGAGGGTTAGTGTTGCAACAAATTAAAAAGATCATGTACTGAATATTCAGATTAGATGTGCTGATTCAAATGCATTTAGATCATTTTTTTCTGCGTTCTTCATGGATTTGTTTCAGCATTTCATTTTTAAATTTATTGTTATTTTATATTACAGAGCCAAAAAAGCAGAGCATATTTTTTAAACGTCACTCCACCCCACTAAGACGCAGTTATCCATTCAGCTCCTCAAGTCCCAGGAGACCATACAACAACAGGAGGAGCACAAGGTCAGTACTAACGTTTCTCTCCAAATGATTGTAGATTTTAGAAAATATAATTGTCATAGACTTTGGCCATTTTTTGTATATGAGATTTATGTATAATCTTGACCATCATTTTGAGTCTATACATGTTTGAAAGTGTGTTGTGATTGACACCCAGTCATGATGCTGTCATGTATATTGATAGACTGACAAGTAAGTAAATAGTTGTTTATGTTTCTCGTGCTGTAGTTCAAGATGGAGTGAGGGTGATGGGTAAGATCAAGTTTTCATATGGCCTTACTACAGCACAGGTGGAAAAAGTCAAATCAATGTATAGCAGTTTAAAATTAATAACCACACCAATATATATTGCACATTGCACATTTTCAAAGAGAGGCGTTGGGCTGAAAGGGCTGGTGGAGCATTTTCTGAAAGTTTATACTTTTAATTTTTGGCGTCATTAAAGTTGTTTAAAAGAGCTTTTTGTCTTTCTCATCATCTCAGGAGAAGACATGCCATTCACAGTAGTGACTCTACCTCATCCTCTTCTTCTGATGAAGAGAAATTTGAGAGACGAAGAACTAAGAGTCGTAATAGGTCAATAAACAGGTAAAGAGTTCCCACTGAAAGTTTTTACCTATATCTATAGGAGCTGTGCAAGTTGTACATTTCGTTTTTTAGATACTTCTAGCCTTGTTAAAAGCAATGCTTAGCCTTTTTTTCCACTGAAATAAACTAAACACATTACCTTTTGTAGATGCCTCCCTATGAATTTACGAAAGGACGATCTGTTAGGAATCCACAAGGACAGGATTAAAATCGGAGCAAGTCTTGCAGATGTTGACCCAATGCAGATTGACCAAACAGTACGTATTTGCCATTTGACTTGCAAGAGTGGTAAAAACCTGTATTTACTGTTGTGACTCTTGTGTACAGGTGCGCTTCGACAGCATTGGGGGTTTGGGAAAACACATCTCTGCACTGAAGGAAATGGTTGTGTTTCCTTTACTCTACCCAGAAGTCTTTGAGAAATTTAAGATTCAGCCTCCAAGGTATGCAAAGCAGTATTAATAAGAGTTTATGTCTAAAGGTCTATTTGAATACTAAATAAGAATCTTTATTGACCGAATGTTATGTGTTTTCAGAGGATGTCTGTTCTATGGCCCTCCTGGCACAGGAAAGACTCTTGTCGCTCGAGCCCTAGCCAACGAGTGCAGTCAAGGCGAGAGAAAGGTGGCTTTCTTTATGAGGAAAGGGGCAGACTGTCTGAGCAAATGGGTGGGCGAGTCTGAGAGACAGCTCCGTCTCCTGTTTGACCAGGTATCATTGTTTTATTAGAAAATAAAAGGTGAAACTGATGCTTATTTTGTTTTTTTACATTATTAAAATAACTATGTCTTTTATTTTGAAGGCATACCAGATGCGTCCATCAATTATTTTCTTTGATGAGATTGATGGTATTGCACCTGTTCGGTCTAGCCGGCAAGACCAGATACACAGGTGTGTTAGTCTCTATTATATTTTTGTCTAATGATCTTCTCTTTCTGTCCTGTTATAATACTCTTGAATTGTTTCTTTGTTGTGTAAAGCTCCATCGTGTCCACTTTGCTGGCTCTCATGGATGGGCTGGACAGCCGTGGTGAAGTGGTAGTTATTGGTGCCACTAATCGCCTGGACTCCATCGATCCTGCGCTCAGACGACCTGGACGATTTGACAGGGAGTTTCTCTTCAACCTTCCAGACAGAGAGGTGAAAGTTTGAACCTCATTCAGTGTTTATTACTAACCGCAATCTTGTTAGTTTTGTTTAGAGGAACCAATTTTAAAATATTGTCGCTGCTTTGTAGGCTCGCAAAGATATTTTGAAGATCCATACCAGGCACTGGGACCCGCAGCTGTCTGATGCGTTTCTTGAAGAGTTGGCAGATAAGTGTGTCGGTAAGTGTGTCTGCTCTCCTGTTCCACTATGTAAAATCCCCTGATAAGTACCTTGTGCATATCAGCTTACGTTTGTCTCGACTTTCTCTGTGACAAAACAAACGCTGGTGCTTTCCAGCTTACCTCCAGGACATTTTTACTGTCGTGAGTTTTAGGTAGCAATGTTATGTAACACTCTGCTGTTCTAGTACTCTCACTCTTTAGTACTCTCAAATTTAGCTTTTAGTGGGTCCTCAGACAGTCTCGTTCTATCCAAGTAGGTGGTTCTTATCCAGATTGAACTACATCGTTTATACCTGATCATATGCCTGTAGTTGAACATCTGACTTTCTGTGCTTCCAGGATATTGTGGTACAGATATCAAAGCTGTGTGTGCAGAAGCAGCTCTGTGTGCCCTCCGCAGACGTTACCCCCAGATCTATGCTTCCTCCCAGAAGCTTCTGCTAGATGTGGAGTCCATCTGTGTGAGTGGCCGGGACTTCCTCTCAGCCATGAGGAAGATCGTTCCAGCTTCTCAGAGGGCAGTGGTCTCTCCAGCAAAAGCACTTACACCTGTTATTGAACCTCTGCTGAGCGCTGCCCTCAACAACGCCATGAAGATGCTGCAGAGACTCTTTCCTCATGTAGAGCAGGGACTCAAGAAGAAAAGAGACACTGGTAAAGAACCTATTTTTATTTCTCTTATATATATATATAGCAGTATGTAATAAGCTAGACAGAATCTGTGGACTTTTCCTGTTATTTCTGCACAGAATTTTGTAAAAACAAATGAGGATTTATGCTGAATGATTTTGGAAGTATCATAACTAAAAACTTAATATTTGAAAAAAAAAAAAAATACCTTTTAACTTTTATTTAATGTTTACAGTTCAAATCCATTTAGATTAGATTAGAATTTGTAAACAAAGCAAGTCACTTATATAATATATCTACTAAAAGATATTGTATTGTAAAATAATGTATTGTAAAAAGTATCTGAAATTTTCATATTAGTCAATAATATTGGTTTAATTTAAAAATAAATATAAATTTACACACATTTACACAAGCAAATAATTAGACTCAATGATGGGCTAAAAAACTGCAGATATCTGTGTGGGCATAAGTAATTAGCAATCTGAACACTTTAACCATCACATAACAGTCTAGGAAACAACAATGTCTAGGTTTTGCAGAAAAAGATGCCATTTAAAGTTTGGTAATATTAAATGTTTTGAAATTAATAATCATGCAAGAACATATTTTCTATTTTAGGAAATGTGTCCGGCATCTTGGATGACCTGCTACAGAGTGAGGATGAGGGATCCTCTGTGTGCATTACTAATAAAGGCCAGAAGAACACTGGACCTGCTGTGTCTGTCCTTCATCTGACCAGGTTAGAAATACTCCTGTTTATATTTGATTTCACTCACAGTATACTGGTAAGTGTGCACAGGAAGCTTTTTTTGTGAGATGAAATTTATCACAACAGTTTTGTTTGATCAAAGGTTTGTTTTAAGGAAGTATTAAACTCTTCTAAATATCCTCAATAACAGTTTTTATTGTGTCTGTACTAGGGCTGCACAATATTGGAAAAATCAGACATTGTGATTATTTTATTTTGCCATTATATGAATACAATTTCACCAGACGATTTGAATGGCTGTATTTGAAAAGATTTTATTCATTTTGATCGACTGCGACAGTCAAGTCTTTTTCTATCTTCATAAATAAGCAAAAATAAACAAATAAACATGCTTTATGTTTTTCTGGGAAGTCTTAAGAGTAATCAAGTACAAAAATTGAACAATCAAATGTAAAATAGCACAGACATCATTGAATAAATAATACAAAAAATATTTGTTTATTATTTAATCTGTAATAAATAATGTGATCCTGCAATGTGACTATTGCAGATACACACATTCTGATCTCGATGTTAAAACAATATATTGTTCAGCCCTAGCCTTAACCATTCATATTGGATAAATGAGTGACATTTGAACTTTCCAAAAAAACAATAATAATACAATGTATTAAAAGATTGCATAATTGTAAAGCATTTTAGGTTTACCAAAAAAGATGGTCTTAGAAGTCAACATTATTTTGATTACTAATGAAAAGCAGTTCATTCCGCATGTGGCGACCCCGGATTAATAAAGGGACTAAGCAGACAAGAAAATGAATGAATATTAATGAAAAATAGTGAGACATAGTGTGCAGTTCTTGGTATAACTTGAGTCATTGCTGTACTTTGTTTAACTTTTTGTATTCCAGGAGTGCTCTGCAACAGCCCACCTCGTTCAGACCAAGACTGCTGCTCTGTGGGACTTCAGGCTCTGCTCAAACCTCTCACTTGGCTCCCGCTATTCTTCACACTCTGGAGAAGTTCACTGTTTACACTCTTGACGTTGCTGTGTTGTATGGAGTCAGTTCAGCCACCCCAGAGGAAGCTTGTGCCCAGGTGAACACAATGTATTTATACCAGAATTCAAGCTGCTCAGAAGAATTTGCTTTATTAAGTGAAGTATATTTATAAACCAATTTCATGAGGATCACATGCTTATGATTGTCCACGTCTGGTCCCGCATGAGCCTGCGATTGATTCACCAATCAGATGATTCCTAACTCACTATAAATAACCAGAGTTTCTTATCTCAGTATCTTCATCTTGAAGAATGTCTCTGGTTAAAGTCCCTTCTAAACCAGTTGACATTTCTGTGCAAAGTTTACTGATTCTCCCCATGCTCGCATGTGTTTTCCCTGGGTTCCCCTGTTTACTCTCACAGTACAAAAAACTTGCAAAAAAAGAGTTAATTGAACATATCAAACTGACATCATAGTCAAGCTCTTAGCAAGCCGTATGTCTCTTCTTTGCCATCCTATATCTGTCATTAGTCAGAAATAAGTAGGAGTTCATCTACCTAAGCTTAAACTCCTCTCTTGCCGTGCTAACAGGAGGGAGCCCAGGGCTCTAGGATGTTTTAAACTCAGGGCTCTATCCTGGGACAGCATGCCAAACGGGCTTGTTACCAATCATCAGCCAAGTGTGAACTCTTGAAATAACCATCGATCTGTATTGTGTATGTCAGGTTTTCTGTGAGGCGAGGAGAACCGCACCCAGCATTGTGTATATCCCACACATCCAGCGCTGGTGGGACACTGTGAGCCCCACTTTAAGAGCTACATTCATCAGTCTGCTGCAGGACATTCCATCATTCTGCCCCTGCCTCCTCCTCGCTACATGCAGCTTTCCTCATGATGCACTCTATACTGAGGTACTGCTTGATCTGAATAAACAGTGCTGAGACTTGTTTGACTTTGCTAAAATAAATGACATTTTATTTTCTGTATTATACATTTTTTATCTTTTAAAAGGTGCAGGATCTCTTCCATGTTGAGTATGGTGAAGTGTTTGATGTTCCACTTCCTTCACGGGATGAGAGGCTCAGATTCTTCGAGGATCTTATTTTGAATCAAGCTGCTAAAGCACCGGCATCTAAAAGAGAAGCAGGTGATGCTTTTATACTTTTCACATTTCAAGTGAAGCGTTTTCATGCAGACCTGTGATAACACTTGTAGTCTCTCTTTCGCAGTCCTCCAGGCACTAGAGGTGTTACCAGTGGCTCCTCCGCCTCCTCCCCGCCTGCTCACTAAGCAGGAGCTGCAGAAGCTGGAAGAGCAGGAAGAGGACACCCTCCGGGAGCTCCGTCTCTTTCTGCGAGATGTCACTAACCGACTGGCTCAAGACAAGCGCTTTAAGGCCTTTACTAAGCCTGTGGACACTGAGGAGGTAAGACAAAGTATTCAGTCTCACAGCTACATTTTTTTTGCTGTTGATTTAATGCTAAAACTAAGTGTTTTCTTATTGTTACAGGTTCCCGATTACACTACAGTCATCAAACAGCCCATGGACTTGTCCACAGTTCTCAGCAAAATTGATCTGCATAAGTATGAAACTGTGGCAGCTTATTTGGAAGATGTGGATCTGATTTGGCAGAACGCCCTCGAGTACAACCCAGACAGAGATCCTTCAGGTATGTGAAGCTTGAAAGATAATGTTAAAATATTTGTAGTATCTATTGCTGTACAATATTAGAAGAGATTTGACATTGCAATATTTATTTTACCGTAATATATATATATATATATATATATATATATATATATATATCCAAGATAAATACAAGTTTTCCAGATGGCTTAAATATCTATGTTTGGAAAAGAATTCATTAATTTAGATTGATTGGAGTAATTAAGGGAGGGGAGTAAATCATGAATCAAATTAATACATTACAAGCATAGAAATTGCAGTAGAGCAAAGATGATTAATTAAACAGTGCTTTATGCTTTTCTGGAGTCTTAAAAGATTTGGTGTACAGTCAAATAAAATTGATCTTTATTAGAGTTACAGATTTTCATGTGCCCACATGCCTGAAATCCTTATGAAAAGCTTGCGTGTTCATAGGCCTTAAGCCTGTTTCACACCGCAAGTGGGAGCAGAGCGTGTTTTTTTCGCCGTCCATGTTAACTGATTAGAGCTTTCATACGCATGCAGAAGCAGCGCGAGTTGTGAGCATTGCTAAAGTGCCGTGCTGTGATAGTTTCAGAGCTGGGCCTATTTTTGCCGCACTGTTCACACTCATTCAAAGTGACAGTGCTTAGATAATGACCAAAAACACAATTTTACCATTTAAATGCATAAAAAATATCCACTGATTTTATATATTCAATCAAATAAACTTAAACAATTAATAACGGCATCAAATATTTATTTGCCCCAACTACAAAACCAAATAGAATAGACAGATAGATTGGTGTGTGCAACAGCTGCCAATGAGCTGCACACTGCAGACGCTGTCAGTGGGAAAGGCAAACACCTGCGGGCTGATTCACTCCGCACATGCTGCTCACTGTTACAATGTGAAGCAGGCGTTAAATACACATGCAAATGATGAACTAAAACTCTTTTATGGTAAATTTTGCAGTGACTCCACAAATCTGGTGTGTTCTGAACTGTGGCTCCTGGTCAACTATAATCCCAACTCAACTTTGTTGACTATTGCAGATGATCCTGAAAGATATATTTTGCAGGCATATTAACATTTGTCATGTTGGTTTTGTACAGATCGGCTCATCAGACACCGTGCCTGTGCTCTCAAGGACACTGTGCATGCCATAATCCGAGATGAATTAGATGAAGACTTTGAGAAGATCTGCGTTGAGATGAAGGAGTCTCGAAGCAAGCGAGGTTACATTCACGATGCATGACATAATACTTGCTTCAGTTTAAGACTGTGGCCAACACACATTTTTTTATGTTTTATATTCAGGCTCTAGCTCCTCACGCTTCACTCCTGCCTACTACCATGTGCTGCCAAAGGTTTCTGCTACAGCGGAGCAGAAGACGAGTGATCCGACACCCAGTAAAGAAGCTACACCTCTGTCAGCACAAGCTGTGATTTCACCACGTCAAGCAGGAATTAATACAGGTTACTGACAAAGCTGGCAACAGCACCATAAACATACTTTGTCTCGTAGTAGGATTTGATGTTTTGACATCTGTAAATGGGGTATGTGCAGAGCTAGTGTTACTTCCTACATCAATAAACTTCTGGTGAACAGTTAATGTGACTTTTTAATTTTATACGATTTCTTTTACAGCATAGATGTTTTAATGTAATTAAAATACAATCAGTTAAATAGACTTCAGCATTCATGTAGTTGCTTAAGCGTAAAACGAGATGAAAAGCCGTTTACACACGCACTGTCAGGATCAGCAGGCTAGCACAGTAACTCCATTGATAATACTGGAGTAAAATAAATTTCCATATTTTAAAGAGATGGCATGGAAAATGTTTATTTTATTGCAGTGCTTCTTGTATATTCTGAGGCCCACTTTATATCGTATATATCAATCAGGCAGTGAAGATTGTTGATTTTTAAAGAAAACAGACCTTAAACCACTTGTAACAATATTGTAACGACATACTGTTCATCGGAATTGTTTGACCCAGGTTTCTGACTATTAAAAGACTTTCTGCATATACCCTATTTAATTGGACAATTCTTTCATTATTTACCCACCCTTCACTTATCACAAACCTGTTTGAGTTTTTCTTCTTTTATTTAAAAAATAAATTATTTTGAAAAATATTGGAAACTTGTAACCATTGACTTTACTAGTATTATTTTCTTGTTATGGAAGTCAGTGGTTACAAGTTTCTAACATTTTTCAAAATATCTTTTTTGTGTGCGTTTAACAAAACAAAGAAACTTTGGAACCACAGGAGGGGGAGTAAATAATGAGTGCATTTTCATTTTTGGGTGAACTAACCTTATTATAATAGTTTTTGTTGTTGGTGTTTTTATTAGCCAATATTTTTATAATTTATTTTTGTATTTGTTACAACCAGCTCAAAATTGTAAAGTAAGAGAGACGATGCAGACCAGGTAAATCGTAAAGAAACGGAAATAAATGGAAGTCAGTGGTGAAGAGCGTGTGCATGGTAGTGAACTGAGCTCCTGATCCAAAACGAAGTAAAATAATCAAAATGACAAGCAGGGAGGTCCGGTACATCGAGCTCTCCTCTCATGTCAAAATGTTGAACTCTTTATAAGCGCCATACAATGGGTCTTAGGTGAGATGACACACTTACAAATCAGGAACCATGCAGGCTCTGCAAATCCCAAATAGAACCAAAACAACCAGGTCCAACATGGCACCTAACAGTATTGCAACAAAATATATGCTTTGTAGACTATATGCTATTTTTGATATTTTTAATATTAAATTAGCTTTTTACTTTTATTAATAGTCAATAAGTATTAATACTAAGATAAAATATAAATGAGTACGTTTACATGGACACCAATAAACCAATTTTAATATGATTAAGACAATACTCTGATTAAGAGTACCATGTAAACCCTCATGTAGGACTTCTGCATTTTACAACATAATATTTCATACACACACGGCTGTTTGACACTATTCTCTGCACTTATTGAGTCAGTGAAGGACACAGACACCTACGTCACGAAATGAGTTTTTTTTTCTCCCATTCGGCAGGCGGTATCAAATTCCATTTAAACAACACTCCTCCACCTGTCCTTAATTCATACTCCCATTCAATACCTCAGTTTGTCACGGGGGCATGCATGAAATTTTCTTGAATGAAAGTGTAAGTGTCAAACTGCAGTTAAAGCCAAAAAATTAAACAACCAAAATTACATGAAACTCCGGAGGAAATATGGGATAGCGCAGTTATGTTCATCAAATTATGTGCTGTAATATATAAAACGGGATGATGAAAGGAAAGCAACTCATGTAAACACCATCATCATATTATTAGCTTATTTAGATTAAGGCAAATAATAATTCAATTCATGTATACGTAGTCAGTGATAACGATTATAATCCTTTCAATGCGTATCCAAATAAAAAAAATGTATATATTGTAAATAAAGTAAATTAAAAAAAAAATTCTTTAATAATGATCATAAAAATTAAGTGTTTTTCTTATCAGTATTTTTTGACTTGTATAAACAATAATTGAGCTCATTTTATATACTTTGAACATCAGGTCAAACAGGCTTTTGGGCATTCTACAAATTACATGTATTTTGTCTATCCACAGCTTCCCAGATGAAAAAGAAGAGGAAAAACCGCTGGAAAAATGGCTTCATCAGCAAAAAGAAGTGCTCACATGTGAACTCTAAAGACAACTCTAACATTGCAGAATCAGGGGATGAAGAGGAGGATGAAGACGAAGATGGAAAACCAGCCGAGAGTGAAGATCTGGAAAAGATGAGGGATGCTGAATGCGAGACAATGGAGGTTGAAGGGCCCACCACATCCACCTCCGTAGTGCAGAAGATCACCTTCGTTAGTGAGGAACAGGAAGACAATACTGCCGCTGCAGTGAACGAGGTCGTGAATGTTGAGAATGTCCAGATTAATGCTAGCGGTGAGCAAAATGATGTGCAACCATTAGATAACAACGAACCTAAGAGAACAGAGCCAGGTGCAGAGGATGACACAGAAATGGGTTAGTAATAACAAAAAGATTTTGCTTTCAATCGAGCAGTTGTGGGCTTTATGTGAATATGAAATGGTAAAAACAGTATCCATGGGGTGGTAAATTGTCTTAAATAAAAAAAAAAAAAAACTCAATTTCAGGGCTTAAAAAATCTTAAATTCACTGAAAAAGGGTGTTGTAGATCTTAAATCATTTAAACGGGTCTTAATTTTCCTATATCCATGTAAAGTTACCTAATCGGGCCAGCACCCATCCAACCACTATGATTCCATCTCAAAAGTTTTAACAAAAGTTTATGTATTAACTCTTTATTAACTCTTCATTAATTATTAACATTAATAACATTTATTTTTAATGTTTTAACTGGGCCATTAGAAAAAATCATTAGCGTTTAGCCTTGTGTAGGTCTGAAATTTCATTCATAATGGTCTTAAAAAGTCCTATATTTGACTTGATGAAACCTGTAGAAACCCTGAGAAAAGTGACTGTAATTGGATTAGAGCTGGAGTTTTTGTTTGAGGCGTCTAAGAAAGGATTACTGAAGAAACTTCTCAATTCTCGAACAAATGAATCACACCCTCTGCATGCGACACTGGGGTCATATAAGAGCATGTTTAGTTGTAAATTTAATGCCTTTGAACTAAATATTGCAACAGGAAGTCATTTATATCTGTTGCGATCAAATGTATACCTTCATTTCTTAATAAGGATCTGAGATTGTGTGCACAATTTATTTAGTTTTTATAAAATCACTTCATTTATAATTATTACTATTAGCAAATGTTGCCTAATGTGCATTGTTTTTATTTTTTTGCCTATGTATTTTCTTAACATGTTACCTCTGGAGAAAGAATTTGCTTGAGGATAACTAAAGGTTTATCTTATCTCAACTTTTCCATGGGCTTTTCAGAGTTCAGACCGAGGCGGTTGACGAGAGGTTTTAAGAGTCAGGCTGAGCAGCAAAGTCTCATCAGTGTGGATGCTGCCATGAAGATCCTGGAGCAGAAGAACGTGCCTCTAATTGTTGACCATAACAAACTCAAAGTAATTCTTGCTTTTTTCTTTTTTTAAATTCATTCATTCATTTTCCTTTGGCTTCGTCCCTTTATTCATATGTTTATCCAGCATATGTATATCCACGATATGTTTTACCTAGTGGGTGCCCTTCCAGCTGCAATCTAGTACTGGGAAACATCCAAACACTTTTATTCACACACATACACTATCCAATTTAGTTAATTCAATTCACCTATAGTGAATCTCTTTAGATTGTGGGGGAAACCGGAGCACCCAGAGGAAACCTACGCCAACACGGGGAGAACATGCAAACTCCACACAGAAATGCCAACTGACCCAGCCAAGGCTTGAACCAGTGATCTTCTTGCTGTGAGGCGACAGTGCTAACCACTGAGCCACCATGTCGCCCTCTTTTTCAACATCAGGAACAAAACTGCATATTTAAAAAGTGCTTTTAAAAAAAGTTTGTAGTGTGTGAATTGTGTTTTCATTCTCTTTTGTGTTCTCATTTCAGGAACTTCTGCAGAAAGTTGTGGACATGACAGAGGGATATGAGGTCAATCAATTGGAGAAACTTTATGCTCTGCTGTGCCAGAGTATATACAGACACAGGAAGGATTACGACAAGACTGCACTTATACAGGCATGTTTAGATGCAAAAGCACTAGGGGTGTAACAGATCACAACCCACAGTTCTTAACACACGTGACCTGCAGATTAATCTTTTTTTTACTGCTTGATTAATCCTAAATTTGTAACCATCACAGAGAGATCGCCTCTCGCGTCATTCAAATAACATGTCTAAAAGCATGTTGCCGGCTTTCCTGCAAAATCAGGTGTCTGCAGAGTCTTAAAATGTCTTAAATTTCAAGAACAAAATTTTAGGCCTTAAAAAGTCTTAAATGCACAGAAATAATGTCTCATGTGTGTGTGTATATATATATATGTGTGTGTGTGTG